CCCCAAAACCCCAAAACCCCAAAACCCCAAAACCCCAAAACCCCAAAACCCCTAATTTCAATACTCGAATTGAACAAAATTACCTAAGTTATTTCCTATGATGCCTATTTCTAGCCTGCATGGACATTTCCTGAAAGGCAAGCTTATAATTCAGGATGAAATTCTTCATCTGCAGCTTGAGCTCGTTGAGTTGCATCGATAATTTCTGATTATCGATCTGGGCCTTCATTGACTCTTCAGTTCAGACTACGATCTTCTCAGCTGCTATAGACTCTTTGATGAGTTTGAATTACCCAAGATTGAATTTACCTTGCTTTAAAGCACACTTACCTCTAGGGCTTGGACGGCCATTGGCTCCCTGACTGTCTCCATATCCTCCGTTTAGGACCTTGACTGGCACTAGTCTCTCATATTCCTTTCAACCACAATCTCTGGCTACTCTCTGGTCTTGCAGCCAATTGCCATACATTCCTAGTGACTTTAGGGAAGAATTTACTGTTGCACATGCTCTTTCCGAATCCTGGTGATAAGGAACCGGCAGAGTATGGCAACTTCTCTCAGTATCCACTGAAGATCTATGAGTCATTGCTGCAACATCTTCAAGCATTAGAGTATGTATAGTAGCAAGTGAGTCTTGATTGTAATCAATCGTCTGAGCACCATTCCATAAACAACTTCACTCTTTTTGAGTCTTTATGGTGCTTTCTTCGTAGCTGCTAACAGACATGTCTTCTGCTTGTTCATTCTTCTCAAGAATCTTGCAGCTCTGCACGTGCCCAATCCCATTTAAACTCTTCTCCGGTAACTGTGGCTGCTCCAGCCGGCCAAGTGGAGGCTCTCTGGCTGCGTCCTGGTCGTTCTGGTAATTAGCAAGGTTGAGATTCGCGAAATGTCTCTTCTTAAGCAGTAAACTGTGAGAGGCGGTCTCAGTCAGTTGTCGCTTGTGGCCATTCTTTGCAGAAATTTTATAATGAGGAATGATTATCTTGGAACCATCTGCTGATTCTTGAGAATCTGTACATTCTAGAATTGTAAGTAATGCTTACCTTCAAGTTGATTTAAAAATTGTTTATCACCAATAGTTTTTCTAATTTTCTTCTTCACCTTTAGACAATTGATCTTGCTCTTATTATATGACTGGTCAATATTTCTTGGAGAAATTGTATTGAAAATCTTTGATTTTGAGATTGATTTATTTGAACTTTTTCTTTTGCCTATTTTCTACATTACTTCAAAAAGTACCTATTGGATTTCTTTTGATAAGTTTTGACAGTGGTGTTGCCACTCAATCAATCATTCCCAACATAGAGTCTTTTCCTTGACTTTGTCCTACGATTAGAAGGAGGAAGAGGAGAATTTTTCCTTGTGCTTTTACTTGACGGCCTCCTCTATTTCATCAAAATTATCATCTTTACCTTTGAATAAGGATCTGTGGTCTTTCGAGGAGTTACCTTCTTGATAGACTTAATTGATAAGTTCTTCACAGTCATTAGTCCTTTCTGCTTGATCCTTTCTTTCTTCGAATCTACATAAGTTTATCCCTAATTCAGAATTTTTGTATCAAAATAGTGAACAAAATTACCATAAAACTGCAAATCTTTTGTTTCAAGTGTAGGCTTTTGTTTCCGCACATGATAGCATGGTTTGTACACTTTCACAGGTTTGGCTACAAACTTTGGAGAGGTATATTCGCCTTCAATAGCTCCTATAAATCAGGTTATTTTCCATAAAATCCCTAGTTTATAGGCAAATTTAGTCGAGCTCTAGTTAGCTGATAATGGAGAGTCCTTACGCAGACATGATTTAGGCTCTAAAAAACCTAAATTTGTATGACTCATACTTCTTTTATGCATATTGGTGTTTAAATAATTTAAATTTAAAAGGGGTTTTGGGGTTTTGGGGTTTTGGGGTTTTGGGG